GATGCTCCTTCCATGTCTGGTGTAAACACAGCATTAGAGCCATGTACAAAAAAAAATGCAATAAAAGCATCTTTAAATGTTACTGAGGGCAGAGTGGTTTTCCATATAAAAACACTGTGAAAATGTGCATATTTGAGTTTTATTTCTTTGCGTGTTTTCTAAGACATTATATATTGGAATAAACAATTGAATGAATCGAATTGACACATTTACTATGTATGCTCACACTGACATTCCTAGCCCCTTTAAGTTAAGTTTAATTAACTTTGTATATAAAACATGGTATAAGTAACTTTAAGTTAATATACAATGATTTGCTAATTACCCTAACTTGCTTAGTTAAAATAAATAATCTAGTTAAGCCTTCAAATGTCACTTTAAGCTGAGTACTAGTGCTTGAAAAGTACTGTAATCATTGGCAAAGATAAAATAAATATGATATTAGAAATGAGTTATTGAAACTATTATGTTTAAAAATGTGAATAAATCTCTCTGTTAAACAGAAAATGGGGGGAAAAATAAATGGGGGCGAATAATTCAGGGGGCTAATAATTTTGACTTTAAAGATACAGAAAACTGTTCTGTACGGTTCTTGAATTTGATTGCTGTGCAATAATCTGCAAGCAACAGCACTCGTCCAGACTCTTCACCTTTGTAGACACATACAGTACAGCAACAAGCAGAGGACACTCAGTTTGTAGAAGCCTATTGAGGCTTTTTTAGTCAAGAATGTAGATGTTTAGATCACAACTATACAGTTTATTTATAAGGATAGAGTCTATTTAAAATATTTATAATTTTTGAGAGCCAGCTTGTTGGTGGCCATTAGCCTGTCATTAAGCAGAGCAAAGATTATTGACGTTGTCTATCTACAAAATGGCAACAGAAACCGCATAATAAGCCCTTAGAAGAGAAAAACATTATAATTTCTAACTACAGCTGATCAAATCATTATTAAACAGGAGCCAGTCTAAATTGATCTCTCTTTTTTTGTATGTTGTTGTGCTGGTTTATACTATATAATTGTTGTGAATTGAGTGTGAGATGGGACTCTCATATTAGGAATGTAAACGTATTTTGTGTTGGCCACTAGTTACTTTTTGGTTGGCCGTCTGGTGGTTTCCAATGTATTTCCCGTTTTTGTTACTGCAGACTAGTTCAGCAAAAAGAAAAAATGCCTGCATGTGTTTTAGAATTTTTTCCTTATCACAAACACAACACTAATCTAGTGTTGGCCCCGATTTGGCTTTTTTAGGGTTAATTATTGTGATATCCCGATTGCAACAGAGAAATACTGGGCAATCTCTTTAGACTGATGGCATTTCATGCCGTTCAGCTTTAAAAAAAAAAAAAAAAAAACCTTAAATGTGAGCAAAATCAGCTTTTTTGTCATTACTTTAGACATTCTGCAAGAGAATCATTCAAATACTAGCTCTAAAATGACTTTGGTTAAGTACTGCAGCAGTTTCTGCTGTTCTGACGTTAGCTGCAGATGTGACTAATTGGTAGAAGAAGAAAGTATTTCATTTTACAAAAGTTTTTAGACTTTGGTTTTTGATTTTCATTTCTATACACATTTTTGCCATCTGTTGTTGAACTGTTGTAAAAATGCAATATCACACTTGTAGCAGTGTGATATGGCTGTATATCATCACTGCACTGGTGGGTGGTGGGACACTAATGCAGGCCCCCCACGAGTGCCGATACAAAGCCATATCGCACTGCTATTCGTGTGATATTGCTCATATATATATATATATATATATATATATATATATATATATATATATATATATATATATATATATATATATATATATATACTAGGGGTGTAACGGTTCACAAAAATTACGGTTCGGTTTGGTTCGATACAACACAGTGGTGTCATGATTCGGTTTGTTTTCGATACAGCAAAAAAAAAAAAAGCCAGAGATTTTCTCTGATTTTAATTTACAGTCCCTATTATTAGTTAACAATAATAACTGCTGTTCTCACGGGTGGTTTCTGATATTGCAGAGATGATATTGACATATAACTTATTATTTGCATACGTCATCTTAATAGCAGTAACTGTCTTTTTATGAGCTGCAATATTATAATCATCTCGGTGAATGTATGCTCTTTAGCGATGGTGAACGTGGTATCAGTCGCACGATTGACAGCATCGTGACGATGAAATGAAGGATTAAATCATGTTAGAACATCTCATGCTTAAAATGTGTAGATTCAGTGGCAAACACTGTTACCTGAAAATTCTGTCCCACCGGCTTTGCGGGGAATGCTTTAGTCATTTTCATAGTGGACTTTAACCACTGGAAGTCTTTTATCCACTCTTCGAAAAGCGTAAATGCTGGATTGACATTCATCACTTGATCACTAATCAGATGTGCCATTATTTGTAACTTTAAGTGGTTTTTACTAAATCTGTCAGTGTTGTTTTCATTCTCTCGGATCCAGACCTTTATGTTTTCGTGGCTGTTTTCGTAGCTCTCTTATTCCAAGTTGACATGTCAACTGTTTTAAACCATTCCTGAGCGCTGCGTTTGCCGTTTTTAGGTGCAAAGATTAGTGTGGTAATGCCTCCTAATTCCTACACGTGGTGAACATTTTGCTGTGAAAACTGGTCGCACGACATCAATTTCATGCACTCCCAAATATATTTTGACATTGCATAGATACAATTTTGGGGCGTATACTGTATGCGAACAAAACGGTCGAAATTTCGAGCCCTGTCTCTTATACACAGCTATAAATGTACAGAAACCAAAGTGTTTGCAAACGGCAGACCCGCTGTTGGTTATAGGAAAATTACATTAATGTTTTTTTTTTGTGACTAGTGCAGCGTTTGCCTGACTGGAGTAGTGTTTAGAGGTGGGCGGGGAAGGCAGCATGTTGCCTGTCATGTTATTTGGAATGCCTTGTTGAGCGTTGTTGCACTGAAAACATTATATTTTGTACACTTATTCACTTTTAGTTTTTTAGATATTATTCTGTCTATATATATATATATATATATATATATATATATATATATATATATATATATATATATATATATATATATATATATATATATTTATATATATATTTATATACATACACATAAAGGGACTAAGCCGACATGAAAATGAAATATTTCTATACCTAATCAAAATATACAAAAAACTGTAACAGTTTATACAGGCTTCAAAATTAAATGTTTCGCAAGTTTTATCTAAAAAAGATGGGCTTAAATGTGGTAAAGTGTTATGCTGGTGTTGTTCAGACAAAAATGGTTTAATTAAAAAAACTGACTTCCTGGTGTAATTGCATTTGGTTCATTTAAATGCACACGATGGCTGTTATTTAAACCGAAATTGAGACTTTGCAGACTGAGGTTACCTTCAATATTGTACAATACCTACACTGGCCACAGATTTTAGGGTAAGGGTAGAAGCAAGAGAAAGGAGATGGAAGAATGAGGAGAGACAGAAGCAAGATGGTGTGTTGGATGCCCCTCAGTGAGTGACCTTTATCTCCATGTCTCCGGATGGCTGGTGATGGCTCCTCTGGCTAACAGACACCCAGCAGCAAGCCACTTGTTACCTAGTCTCTCTTCTCATCCTCATCATGGCAGGCAGCAGCAGGCCTTTCACTTCAGGGAACATGGCTGATTCCTCCATCCATTCAGCCAATCCTCCATCCTGCAGAAGATGGGGGTGAGTTCATCCGTCACCCTGGCAAGCTGTTTCAGTACCATCTTTGAACATCTGTGATATCAGAGTCAGGCTCATTCCAGGTCAATGTTACTGCAAATTACTCCCAGCAATGAGGCTTTAAAGGAGTAGTTGACACAAATATTAAACTTCTGTTCATTAATTACAAACATTTGTGCAGTTCCAATAACCTGAGACCTTTGTTCATCATTGCACCACAAGTTAAGATAAATTAGATGAAATCTGAGAGTTTCCTCTTTCTTAAGCAGCAAAATGTTCAGAATAGTAACCAAAAACCATTGTAAAAGCATCCCATGTGTCTTTATTGGACAACTGTAATTATATGAAGCTCCAAAAACACATTTGTGTGCCAAAAGATTAAATAATAATAAAAAAAAAGATTGTTAATTTCTTCTTTGTTAGATCATGGTGCATGTTTACAATGTGCAATACAATGCTTGCATGTTGCACCGCTGCACCATATTTCACAGGAGAATATATATATGTATGTATGTACAAGACAGTTTTTGTAGCTTTGTATGATCGTAGTTGAATCACTAGAGTCACATGGCTTTGACAATATTTTTGGGTTCTTGCTTGGGCTTTCAATGTCTCTTATTGTCACTGACCTCAGAGGATGAGGGAGCCCTCAAATTTCATTAAAGAGCCCCTATTATGGGTTTTTGAAAATGACCTTCCGATGAAATATCCAGCTAAGACCTAAATATGAAAGTGCACCATGTTTAAGACTGATCCATCTATAAAAGAGTCTACTCGTAGTGGTTTGAATGAATCATCATGGCAACAAGTCTTTAGCTGTGCCGGCGTGATGTTGATATAAAATTCAAGCCCCACTCATCTGGGAAATCTGAATGCTCTGGCCCCGCCCACAAACACTTCAGAAAAAAAGAGGAAGACAATCACTGTTGCAGATTTTGGTTAAATCACGTCACGAAGATGCTGTGCTCTGAAGTGTGAGGCAAAGTTATTTTCCCTACCCTAAGATGTGGCTGTGAAGAGTCAGTGGTTGAAGTTTATTTTTGTAAAAATATCTCAGCATTATAGCCCCAGCCTTGTGCTGTGTTCCCATCATTTTTTTGATGATCAGCAATCTACACTCTTACAACGGGGCATTCATTGGCCGTTTGTTGAAGGAAGGATCAAAAAAGACGATGTGTGCGGCTTTGTCAGAGCTTGCCAGGAACTTTACAGCACACAGTTCATAAATCAGTTTCTTCCTCCATTTCACAAGTGTAAGTAACTTAAGTGCGATTAAAATGGTTGACTCCATGTTTTCTCTACACTGTTATCCCTAAAGTTGTATTAATTCAAAATACTTAGATTCAATAAACATAAATTCCAACTTTTTTGCTCAGTTACTCAATTTGTTTAGTTTGTTGTACGATTTGCATGATATTTTTGATTCTACTGGATTGTTTAAATTGAATGTACTTAACAGAGCTTGTTTTAGTCTGTTGTCAAAGGAGTGATGTGTAAGGGGAAATGTGATTGGCTCTTTGTCTTTGGGCTGACGTCACTGGTGAACACAGCGTGAGCGCGCATTTTCTAATGGCTGCTGATCACTGTGAGTACGATTTCATACTTTTGTCTCAAACAATCCACATTGTTTTCCATTAATAAACAAAGTATGTAACCGTTAGCAAGAAAACCACATGTAAGATTAAACTGTGTCTGACGTTAGGATGTTATTGTTCCGGTCAATCGCAACCGCCATCGCCACATTTATATACAGCTCTAAGACGTGAAAAGTGCAAAGACGTGCGTAATGGGATCGTGATATCGATCATATATTATGTAAAATAGTTCATGTAAGTTTTGCCTGTGTTAGCGTGTTCATTTATGCCACGTTATAACCGATTGCGGCTGTAACTAACGTTACAGTTGCTGTACGTGAAAACATGCTTTATGAGGTCGTCACATATAAAGTTTAATGTGCTGTATTCGATGAGTCATCCGCATTATCTGTTGTGTAAAATGAATATTTTTGCAGTGGTGGTTATGTATCGTCAGATGTTTAGAGTAACATTAACCTGAGCTGTTTTAAACGTTTTTTTGTAAGTAAAGTATTAACAGACTATGATACATTGAGATTTGCCCCTTTCTTCGGAAATACGAATTCATGTTAGTTGACATTTTTTGAAAGATATGCAACCTCGTGCTCATCAGTCTTAGCAAGTGATTTTTCAGTTAATTAGAATGAAAGCTACATAAATAATTAACTGTAGCTTTATAATTCTTTTGGTTAACAATAGCTGTTTGTGGGAAATTTGGAGATAACAGATCAAAATATGTAAATGTGTTTTGTCAGCTAGTAATCTAATGTATATTTTTGTGACTGTAGATTCCAGAAAGGTCAAAGCAAGGCCAACCAGGATGAGATGAAAATGTAAGTATTGCTCATTAGCTTGTGACAAAATATGGTACTTATTAAAACATTGCAGATTTAAACATGGGAGCTATGCAAGAAGCCAGCCATTTCCATGCATATATCAGGAATGTATTTGTAATAAAAAGAGTACAGTATTGATACACATGATAACATGCTAGTTTGACAGTTGTTTAATTTTGACATTTCTCTGATGTTAATGAACTTTTTTGTGTGTTTTACTACTACAGGTGTATCAGGAATCCAACCAGATAGTTAGCAAGAATTATATTGGTCTCTTGATCATCACTGCCCACAACTGATTCAGATCTTCAGGTCACAGAGAGGTCTCACTGGACAGATTTTTATCTACTACAAGATGTCAAGGTTTGTGTATGCCATTGTTTGTACATGCCATTGATATAAATTGATGCCATTGTGTGCTGAATTTTGAAATTGATATAATTACTTTAGAAATGCTCAGTAACAGAGACTAAATTATGATACATGAAAATGCACTTTCTCTCATGTTGACAAATGATATAATGTTGTTTCTCTGCAACACCTCAGGCCTCTGACCTCACTGACATGCGAGGTGTTTTCATTTGAGTGCTTCCAGTAGTTTGAAGCAGTTCTTCAAAGCATGTTTTGAAAGTATCATTAATAAAATATTTCGTAATTTAATTATATCAAGTCTTTTTATGCCGTATGCAATGACTTGTATACAAAAAAAAAATTTAATATTTTGTAGTATTTTTATATATCATTGAATACTAGATATGTTTGGGTATACAATTAACAAATTATGCTTGCATACAACTAAAAAAAATTAAATACAATTCATATATATTAAAATCAAATGTACACCTCTAAGATATATTTATGTTATCTATGTATTGTTGTCAGGCTTCAGATGATGGAGACTCAAATCAACATGTGCCCGTTGGAATTCTTAACCGAGAAAATGACGATGTGGCTCTGCAACCCCTGTCCTTCCACCTCCACTCATCCTCTGTGGGAATCATCTTGGAGGGAAATGTTGTAATGGACAATATAGACAATATACCCCAGGCCATGTGTCTTTTTGGATCAACCTATGCACTGCACCTAGGCTACACAAAATGCATGGACAATACCCTTCTTTTTATTCAACAAGTTTTGGTAAGAAGACGCTGAAGGGTAAGATTCTGGCTTGTCATGTAAACTGATACAAAAAAGGCATGTTCCTTCTGGCTTGCTGTCCTAACTGTGAGTTAAAAAAACCTAAAACTATGCCTTAGTGTTTGGCAAGTGTAAATATTCGATAATGTTACAATGTATTAATGTCTTGTGGTTGTTTATTATCTGGATATGTTTGTAAAAATTTATTGAAATATTTTAAACAAGTGTTTTAATAAGATTTATAACAATAAATATTGACAAATTGTTATACAAGGCATTTTCTTGTTTTGTCACTTGTTTCGGAGTGATATTTCTAAATTATTTTAAATAAAGTGTAAAGTAAATTATTATTCTTTGTCCTTGCTTGTAATTAGGGGTATTTTCATTAAATCAGTTATAGTGAATAGCTAAGTTTAAAATTATTTCTGTCATAACATTCAGGTCGAGATTTTATGTTTCAAGTTTAGGTTGATTGAACTTGAAAAATTTATGGAAACTCGCTGCCCTAAAAAAGCTAATTTCGTCTTGTTGAAAAAACAATACTTTTTAGGTTTATTGTACCTAAGATTTCAGTAGTGTTGTACTAAAAACCTTTATTTCAGTCAACTAAATATTTAATCAAATGCATTTGAAAACTTAAATACAATAAATTTAAAAAGTTTTGTTTTTTCAACAAGACGAAATTAGCTTTTTTAGGGCAGCGAGTTTCCATAAATTTTTTAAGTTCAATCAACCTGTCCGGGCTTACAGTGTAGCTTGCAAATTATGTATTTAATTTTATAGTTTAATTGTGTTTTGTTACTTGTGTTACTTTCAAATCCGTAAACAAATCGGTATGCGCCGCATTTTCAACCTGGTTTTAAACGCGCTGCATACCGATTTGTTTACGGATTTAAATGCAATTGTGAGCTCGCCACACACTGCCGTTTGTCGTAGCAATGGCCACCAGAATAGTTTTAAAGTTCAGTTTTGCCACTGTTTGGATCAATATTGAGTGTGTGTCACTGTTTTTACTAATGGCTAAGAATAGAGCAATATGCTGGTGTTAAACTGCTTTAATGCACTCTTGCATTCTGCTCACACATACACTACACTCTGACTACTTTAAAAATGCTAATAAGCAGTGGTGGGCATCTCTCTCTGTCTCACGCTGGACGCAGTAGAGCAATCACAACAGACTGGGTCATCGGACCAATTAGCACAGACCAGCATCACACTAATAAGGGGTTTGGGAACAAATAAATCGTTGAACAAATCATATGGGAGTCATTGGGATAATTAGGTAAAAATAAATGCATATTATAAGACAATAAAAGTGTTTTTGACCTTGCATGCATATCAGACTTTTGTTGGAGACCCCCAAAACCAAAATGTGACCTTTTTAAATTCATAATAAGGGCTCTTTAAAATATCATAATTTGTGTCCTGGAAATGAATGACGATCTCAGGGTTTTGGAACGACATGAGGGCGAGTAGTTAAAAGAAGTTTCATTTTTGGGTGAACTAGTCATTTAAATGTTAATCTAACTTATATAACAATGAAAATGAAGGTAAAGTACTACATGTATAAAAAAAATAATAATAATAATATTGGAAATTGAATTGTTCAATCATTTTATTTATAAGAAAGGACAGTAAAAGAGCTGGTTGTTTACTGACAAAAGGTCCTATGCTAGTCCAAACTGATTATTTGTTGGTCAGTTGAACAATCTAGCTGCTATATTGTAAAAAAATCAAACTGACCCCCTGGAATGATGGTCTATAGCAGTGGTTACCAAACTTGTTTCTGGAGGGCCGGTGTCATGCAGATTTTAGCTCCAATTCTAATCAAACACACCTGAACCAGCTAATCAAGGTCTTATTAGGTATACTTGAAACATCCAGGCAGGTGTGTTGAGGCAAGTTGGAGCTAAACCCTGTTAGGACACTGGCCCTCCAGGACCAGGATTTGTGACCCCTGCTCTATAGATTTGTGACTGATACACCATTTTTATCCAATTGGTCAAATCCAAAAGACAGACTGACTAACTAACTAACTAACTAACTAACTAACAAATAAACACATTTTAAAAATAGAATTTGTTGTGACAGGAGAATCCACTCTGGGATTTGTTTTCTTATATAATAAATTACTTGTGCCTCAGAAGATGAAGCAGAAATGCAATGAACCCGTGGTGGCTTTTAGAGGTGTGAGAATGCTCTTTGGGAGCGCAGCCACTCAAGACAGATCTAATAATTCCAAACCAGTTTAATGGACTTTGGCTAAGGGATTTTAGAATGACTAAAACAACATTCAGTAGTTGTGCAATGTGGTCAGCTGGTTTGTCAATTAATGCCACCCCATTGCCATTGCCCATTTTTATTATGACATTATCTGGTAAAACTAAATATTTTTTTTTTGATCCACATGCTGGAATTTATTCAGTAAATTAGTTTCCATAATACTATATGCACATTTTCACTGCTGTGAGTCCAAACACTGAAGAGCAAATCCATTGATGCACAGCTCCACAAGTCCCAATTCAAGCAAGCCAGTGGCAACATTGGTGAGAAAAAAAACTTGACCAATAGGGTATATGCCGGGCTAGTGTTGTTCCCATGCTGATACACTTCCAGTGACCTGTTTTTGTGAACTTTTTCTCATTTTATACGGTTCCTTATACAGCATCGATGTTGTAATGTCATTAAAATACATTCAGTTAAATAATCTTTAGCATTTATTTAGTTGCTCAAGCGTAAAACGAGTTAAAAAGCCGTTTACTCGCACGCGCCCGTCAGAATTGGCAGGCTAATGCAGAAGCTCTATTGAATATACAGGGGGAAAATAAATGCTCATATAATGAACATATGGCATGGGAAATGTAATTTAATACTGTGCTTCTTGTACAATCTGAGACCCACTTTAAATCGGATATCACTCAGCTAGTGAAGATCGCAGATTTTTAAAAGAAAACAGACCTTAAACGCACCGGATTTTGCATTGCCATTCAATTCGCCGGAAGCGCTTAACCCAGGTTAATGGCAAATTAAAAGTCCTATTAGCATGCTTCAGCATATACCCCATTGACAAAAAGTGAAGGAAAAAAAAAAACCTTGAGAGAAACCAGGCTCAGTTGGGCACAACCATTTCTCCTATGACCAAACTTATGCAGAGTTGCAATCTAGGTGCCGGAGGCTGGAGAAAACTGGACGTCCATCACAGAGAAGCTGCAGGTGTAAGTAGGTCACCGGCGGGTGTTCAGGCTGCGCACATCATCTGTCATGGGGGTCTTTCAAGAATCAGTCTCAGGCTCTCCACTCCTCCATGACTGCCACAGAATGTGCTCAGAATACGGCCTGATCCAGGATTATGGATACCTCGAGAAGTCCTGGTTGGCATCATCTCTTCACAGGTCTTGGATCACATTGATCTACATTCAGTATCACTGGTCAACAGAATGGGTTTAGCTCCAGTCCTAATTGAATGCACCTCTATAGGCTTACCAACGTATTCAGACTCAATAAAACTCAAATTGATCAAATCACTTTTATTGTCACATCATCGGCAGCACGTGTGCTATGATGAATGAAAAGCTTAGGTGCTGGCTCCAGACAGTGCAAATACGACGACAGTGCAAAATACAGACATTGCAAATACGACGACAGTGCAAAATACAACAGCATACTCCCAAAAAAAACAGGACAATGTAAAATTGACAGCGATTTGTTCAATGAATAGTTTTCCACATAGATGTAGGCAGTATTGTTTTAAGTATGGGTTGGTTAAAGGGCAGTGCATGCTAAATATTGATGGTGTGCAGTGAGGGGTATGGAAGAGTCTGTGTGTGGTGTGTTAAAGGGCCATGAAACCCCCTCGTTTCAGCAGGGTGTTTTCACACCTCTACTTTGGAAAAAGTCAGAAAAGTGGGCGTGTCCAGCTCTGTTTAGGGGGGAGTGTCGGAGGAAGAAACGAGGCTTGGTGTGGGAGTGTCTATTTGGGCGCGCTGAATTTCAGAGTCAAAACACACAACCACAGCGGACAATGTGACTGTGTTTACATGGACATCTGTAGTCGAATTATTTGCCAAATTATTAAATGGTGGACTTTAACTGCAGTTTGGCTCTTTCATTCAGGGAATTCATTCATGTCCCTCCCGACAAACGTGATATTTGATTCGAAGAACTGCTCTAAGCGTGTATTTTTCATGCAATGTTTGATACCGCACGGCGAATGAGAGAAAAAAAAAAACTCAGCATTTCCCGGAAACTTAGATGCACACGGCAGGTAGCGTCAGAAAGCCGCGTGTGTTATTCCGGTCACAAAATCCAACACGAGGTTATAGTTTGGTTGTAACTGTTAGTGCTAACTTGTTTACACTCGTTGCAATAGTTTGTTTGATACTAATAAAATACGAACTGAATAAACAAAGAGCACTGGTCGCTCACTTACCAAATCTGTAGAGACAGGACAATCACCAGCAACTAGAGCCGCGTCTTTATTAAGAGGAGAC